CCAAAACATTTTTTCATCTTTGACAGTAGGGTGTGGCAGGAAAAGTAACAAGAAGAGAAGAGAAGCAGGAAATAATATTTTCTTCTTCCTTTGAATGTGTAACAAAACATTTGTATACAAAAATTACACATTTCATCTTTTTGCTGTGCTATATACCACATTTTCATTCTAATCTTGTGGTAGACAAAGTGCACCCGCCTGCGCGCCTTCAGAGCCCACATGGCAGCACCCTGTCCACGCACCAGAAATGGGGATGGCCCATAGCTGGAAACAAACAAAACCCAATTTCTTTTCAGATTTGTTTTGTTTAGGAGTTCTTGGAGGAGCGCAAAGAATCGTTGGAGAGCAGGTTGGGGTGGAATGAATATAACCTCTGAGCCCCTGGAAGTTACCCATTGCTATTCCGATACCAGCGCTTGCATATTTTGAATGGAAATTTTTGGCCCCTCTCTAAAGATGCAGCAGATCGCGGCCGCCTTCTCTCCGTTGGCTCATTGTGTTCTTTTGTGGCTTTGTCTGTAATCAGAAAGCTGAACGGTTCTGCCTTTGCTTCCTGTCCCAGATGTGACCAGGTTCTCACCCGCCTATAAATGCCTAATGATACTCGCAGATTGTCAGGACGCCCTGCCCTGCCCTCGACTCTCCTCATCAGTCAATGCACAGTGGAAAGTGCTCCTAAAACAGCTCAATTCTGCCTCTTGTCCTGACTAAATCTGGGGCTTCCCCAGCACACTTAGGGAACCGTCCCCCTTGCCCCTCTCTTCATATCTCGCCTCTGACAACTCTTCTGTTCGTGATTTAAGTATGAAACGCAGACTCTGTGGCACTGAGAAAAGCTGATGGCCCGTTCGTTGCAATCTCTGCATCAGCCAAACCCCACAGCCCCTCTTGCCAGTGTTTCCAAGGAAACATGGACTCGGGGACAAGGAAGATAAGCATGTGTTAAACCATCACCGTGATTCTGGCCATATGAGGAGCAAGAGAAGATGGACGAGAAAATATGAGTGTCGGGCAGAAAAGCCCCAAATTTGGCCGAAGTAACAAGGATGCGTTCTGTTTTGGTGGTGAAGATGTATGAGAAAGATGTGGCTTCTGTCGCTCCGTGTATGTGTTCTGTTTCACGCAGAGGGTGGATCTTGGTTGTATTAAACCAGCTATTCCAGTTCTATGATCTCTAGCCAGGGAATTGCAGCCAGGAAGCTTTGACTGGCGTTTGCAGAACTGAGGGCTGGCGGGGTGCGAGGTACGCTAAGAGAGATGATTGAGAAGGGTTACTTTTGCTAAAAATGTTCTCACACATGTGCACTTGTGCATGCAGGCACACCCAACCAAACCCATTCCCTGTTTCTGCCCATACTTGGAGGATTATGGGACCAGAAGAAGATCACCGAGAACATTTCATATTCAGATGTACATTGTCCTTCTACCTGAGCTTCCGTTTTGCTATCATGATTCATCTTGGGATATAAATTTAACAATGACAAGCAAACAAATATGAACAGTAGGTACGGTTAGGTGCCTACTCCACAAAGTTGTCTGTCTGCCTGAATGTACATAACTATGGAAATGGTCGGTTGGCCCCACTGCCTGTGGCAGGAAATTTCAGACATTAACCTCATCAAAACAGGATGTTTTAGTACCCCAGCGTCACATTTTCTTACAGAATCCACCCAGAAGTATTCTGACAAGGTAAGCATTCGGCAGCATTGTCCTGTGAAGCATAATATATTGTGGCTCTAAGCTGCAGCCACTTGCTGTGTGCCTTTTAAAGCAGATAATAAAACAACAACAAAACAATACTGCCTTTCCCATCGGTGTAATACATTGGGACCCTCCTACTAAATCTAATCCTAGTCCTCCTGCTTTGTCTTCCCGTTCCTCTCCTATTGAAGATTGGATATCATCATGGCTCTGCCATAATCCTATTGTTAATCACTATAATTCCTTTGGGGGGGCAGAAAATCCCCAGAATTTACTCAACATGAGGAGGGTGTTTTTTTTAATCTATTTGGATGAAGGTTAATTATGGGTCACATGAAAACTCACTGTATTTTGTTTGTCTCTGTCACTGTTGTTGCGCTTACTGGGCAAATGAATCCCGCCTAGTACTATGAATGGGAGAGGAAGATTGAAGGATTTTGCTCTATATCCTCATGCTAGTGATTATTTTAAAATAGTCTATCCTATTGCCTTTTATTTGAGTTCTTCTAAAGCAGAGTTGGCAAATAGGGGCCTGTGGGCTTCATCAAAACACCCCTGATGTCCTGAAAAATGTTGACACCCTGCCCTCCCCAATGGCAGATGGATGCCGCAGAAGGTTCTTGGTGGTTATGATCTCCCATTCTTACACAGTTCCACACCCTCTTTGCCTTTCTTTTCTTTAGCTTAAAACAGAGATGGGGACAACTGCTTTCACAGATATTTCTGTGGTATATGTCAGGATTTGGGGCGGGGGGGCATATGGGTGCAGTTGTCCAAGGTCTGCGGAGAACCTCAGGCCCTTTTTCTAAACATAGAACGCCCAAGTTCTTGGACCTTTCTCTTTACAGTCTCCCCACAAAAGTTGACTTACCCCCAAAACATGTCCTATTTTCTAAATCATTTATGACAGAAACATGACCTAGGAAAAAAGAAAGGAAGAAGTAACCAAGTCCTTTCTTCCACTTTACAAAAGCTTTCCATTTTTCGTAGCCTTGGAGGTGATCTAGAGAGCGCCTATTTACCAGCCTGTTCTAATCCAGCAACAATTATGTGGTGGCAGGTGGTAAATTTAGCAATTTTATATATGCAGCTTTCCTTGAGATGCCACAGTAGGGTTTGAGCAAGCCTAGCATTGTTTAATTCAAGTTTCAAAAGCTGCTTGTGGGGAAACGTGGAGTAACATTATATGACTCAAGTGGCCCTGAGGCCTTTGAGAGGTGATGGATTGGATGGTTCCGTGATTTCTTGAAAAATGTTTGGTCACGGCCTCCGACCCTCTTCGTTACAAGCCCAGTTTTCCAAGGGAAACATGCAAGGGCTCACAAGTGAAGAGCGATGATTGACTGCCTGTGTTTAAGAGCTGGATGTTGCCAGAAAAACAAGATCTGCTTAAACATTGGAGGTACTGGTTTTTTTTTGTTTTTGTTTTTTATTTTGCAAAGCCACAGTGATTATTATCACCCACTGGAAATGTAGAGCTCTCCACTGTAATAGGCTCCAGTGAGAACAGTATGCGGCCACCCCGGTGCCAAATGGAAGCAGTTCGGCTGAGCTGTGTCAGATAGCAGAGTATTTGAAAACATGAGAAGTTTAGCCATGCGGTCACCTAGGTCGGGACTCTGAAGCAGACGAGACAGAACAGATGGTTTTCACAACAATTACTAAGAGTTTTTTCTCCCTCAGTCTCAAAGTGGCATGCTGTGATCTTCGTGTTTTACATTTACCACAGCAGTCACATTGTATATTCAGCAGTATCATTACAAGAATCAACTAGTAATGGAATTATTAATTTTGTTTGTATTTATGCACAAAATACTATTGCAATATAAAATCTATGGTAAATGACAAATACAACAAAGTCAAAGGACGTTGTTATATGCTGTCACGCTGCATATGAATTATGGAGTTTTCAAGCCATGTGAGATATTTAAGGACTGGGTTTGCCATTAAAACTCTGCCTTGCGTTTCCGTGATACTATTGCAATGTTTATCTCCATAAAATCTATGGCAAATGACAAATACAACAATGTCAAAGCTCATTGTTGTTATGTGCTTTGTTGTTAAGTTGCATATGAATTATGGAGTTTTCAAGCCATGTGAGATATTTAAGGACTGGGTTTGCCATTAAAACTCTGCCTTGCATTTCCATGACCAAATAGGGATCACTCTGCCCATTTCACCACATTGATTCTTGTGGAAATGCATGCACAAAACATATTATCTTTCTTGGCCAAGGTGGAGTTTTCTTTCTAATATAGTGGTATTGAGGTTTTTTTGAAAGAGTGATGCAAAATACAAAAAGTCAAGGACCATCAGCTTAGGTGGCTCTTCTGGCCACCTCCCTCTGTTAACCACTGCCCTCATTTCTAGGCCAGGCTGACATAAAGGTTAGCGAAATAATGGGTGCCAAATGCTTTCAGCACTTAGGAAGAGTGCAAAAATATTGCAATCAGTGAATGCCCCTCCACTAGTCTGGTTATGAAATACTTGTCCTGTCTTGGAGGGAGACATAAATTCTCCCCCACACCTTTCCCAAGTCATATTTTGGGTGTCCCTCTGGATAGGAAGGGGTTGAGCTGCTATTATTTTATTGCTGTTCATTGAATCCTTGTTAATGTTCTTGCTGATCTGTATGGAAAGGGTGTACATGCTATGCGTGCAGCGAGTTGTGGATGTACCTGCATCAAGGCATGCACAGTATAATTTATGCTTGGCCATGTGAGTGCATGTATTCTTAATGTATATGGTGTCTTGCACTCTGCCTGTGACCGGTATGGGTTGCTCTTCACTGCGCATTGAATACACACCCAAAATGTATCAACTGTTATTATGTTTTCAGATCATCCAAATGGGTGCCTAGTCTTTTCACATTCCCTCTAGGAATCTGCCCTTTTCACCTTATGATTATAATTCCTGGGATGTACAATCTCCTTAATTCCAGGCAAGCTAAGCAGTCTGGTGATCAGAGCCGGACAATAGCATCACCTCCTCCTCCTCCTCATTTGCTTCCCTTCCTCTCACATAATCCGTGTGCTTGTTCTTGATTGGGGTCTAAGCTTTCCACCCAGGCAACAATCCCGTATCTTTTCTCCGTCATGCCCAACCAAAGGGTGGGGAGCAGGAAGAGTGAAATTCCCGCTAAGCGGTCTTAGCCTTTCATTACATCCTTTTTAGAGGCCTGAGGATTAACCTAGATGTGGCTTGCCAGGAGGTGGGAGAAGGATTGGTAAAAGCCAGTGATTTTGACATTCATTGCTAGAAAGTGCTAATCTTCCTCTCCACTGTTGGTTCCCATGTAGCACGCTCACGATCTACAGCATCAGCCAGGTGGACGAAGCCATCTATCAATGCATTGCAGAAAACAGTGCGGGCTCTACCCAAGCCAGCGCCAGGTTGACAGTGTTGTGGGCTGATGGATTGCCCGGCCCGCCCCAGAAAGTGAAAGCTGCAACAGTTTCCGCAACCACCATCCAGGTGCTGTGGAGTGAGCCACTGCAGAACACCAAGGAAATCATTGGCTACGTGTTACACATCAGGAAAGCAGCAGGTAGGAAAAGCAGCCGAGGCTGATGGAATGCCCACCAGGTGGGTTGCAGCCGTGAAAATCGCTGAGCCTTAATTATCTTGTATTTCTCCAAACCCCACTTGCATCTTCTTCCTATCCTCAGTTGGCACAGAGTTGTAAGACTTTGCATATTCGCCCCTCCGTGAAATTCATTTGCCCATTTTACACACTCATGTATGTATGTGTTTTACCTGATCTCAGCATTTATTTACACAAATCTGTGTAACTTTCCTCTATTGACCAAGGCATGTCTCTGTGTATTTTCCCCCCAATTGTTCACATTTGAGTGTTTTAAAATGTGCACATACCCTGTTTCCCTGAAAATAAGATCTAACCTGAAAATAAGCCCTAGCTGGATTTTTCAGGATGCTCAGAATATAAACCCTACTGCAAAAATAAGACCCAGTTAAGTGAAACCCTGTCCTCCACCCTTGTGCAGCAACTAGAAGATGACAGGACTGTATTTGAATACATGTAGATTGTTATACATGAAAATAAAATAAAACATCCCCTGAAAATAAGCCCCAATGCATTTTGGAGCAAAAGTTAATATAAGACCCTGTCTTATTTTTGCCACATTTTATCCTCATAACAGCTTTGTAAGGTTGGCTGCACCAAGGGGTGGCGATTGGTCGAGGTACTTTTAATTGAGATCCAGGGGCAAATGTGTCCAGGTTTAAGTCAGTTCACTGTACCACACTGGCATCATGCACAGGCTGTGTGGTGGGTTCATATTAATGAGATAAAGAGAAGGGAAAGGAGAAGAAATAGAAAAAAGAAAAGCTTGTGATATACACTATATCCCCATTTTTCTTGTCCCCCTGTGTAAGAACAAGCTGCACAATTTTCCTCCTTTCCTCTGAGATGGTGAGATATTTTCTGGCATGCAGAACATTTTTTGTGCAAATTGCATAGATTGTATACATTGAGCAAACTGTGCAAAAAAAAAATTGCAATAGCTGCTGTCCTATTCCACGAGCTTTTAAAAAATCAGAAATATTGGAGGCTTGGCTTGCAATTTCTTTTATTAATCCACCAGATTTCTTTGCTCATCCTGTGTGTGTGAGGCTTGTTTCACAACAAAAAAGGACAGTCATTTTGTGCAGATATCATGGATAATTTTTTTGAGGGGGGCAAAACCTATTCCTTGTCTTGTTCAGAATGCAGATGGTAGTGAACCAGACATGACAAGGCAGTTTGCTATCGAAAATGAGTAATTGTGCAATGCCTACTAGAGACATGCCCTGAGAACTCGTAGCAACATCCACAGTCTCTGAGTTAGGTTTGCCTAAGTACAAGGAGGGGTGCCAGTTGTCTAGGTATAACAATAAAGAGCTTCCTTCTGCAGCGAGTTGCACAGATAATCATGACAAAACTGACAATTTCCAGTTCCCTTGCCTCCTCCAATCATGGCTGAAGTGTTGAGATGCCCTTCTTGATGGCTCAGCAACTAAAGAAACAGGGTGCCCAGCAGGTTTTCTCCATTGAGGCTGACAAACTGCAATTGGAATATGGTTCCCTTCTCCATCCGTTAATTCTCGAGAGATGTACATTTGTATTTCAGACCCCGTGGAGATGGAATACCAAGAAGCTGTCAGCAAAAATACCTTCCAGCAGCTTGTGACTGACCTGGAACCCTCCACAAGCTACAGCTTCTATATAAAAGCTTATACATCTCGGGGGGCCAGCAAAGCATCTGAAGTGGTGGCAGTGAGCACACTGGGAGAAGGTAAGGAGAAAGAAGTCGAAATCCAGTCTTCTGCTGACTTGTATTCCCAGTGTGGTGCAGTGGACAGAGTGACAGACTAGGTCTCTGGAGAACAGGGTTCAAATCTCCACAGCCATGGAAACCTCAGTGGGAGAGTGGAATTAGTAAAACCGTAAAACCACTACTTAAATATCTCACCTTCAAAGCCCTATTAGAGTTGTGATAAGTCAGTCCTGACTTAATGGCACAGGACACACACACATACGCACACTGTCCTGTAAGAAAGCATGTTGCTTGACAGTGGACGGCTTACTTTGCAAGGAGGTGCTCCTGCTTGAGATAATTTAGTGGTCTAATAAAAGAATCAACCACTCTTGTCTTCAGATTGCATACAAGGACTGCACAGGGCCCACCCCTCCCCCAGCCATTGCTTTTTATTCACATGTAGAAGATTGAGTTCAGTTTTGTCCCAAGCATCTCCTGTTCAAAGGCTGGGAATGTTCTGGGTAAGAAGGCCATGCAGTATTTAAGAAAGGAACCAATGACTTGATTGGGTATAACCCTGTTATATATGAGAGCCAAGTCCATCTTGAGTCACATCACTTGCCCATTTGCCCGCCAAAGATCACGCCTACGTCCCCTTTGGTACCCTAAACGCTCTGAGTCATGGTGATGGAATCTCTGCACTGATTAGAAACAAGTTCTGCAGCCAGCATACATTTGCCAGAGATGCAAGGTTGAAAAGGTTGACCTTCTGCATTAAAAACAAATATGTCACCCTCCAAGTCGTGACTTACCTCGTGGGTCCCACCAGGCTGTCACAGACACGTACGGCTTCTCCTGCACAGACAGTCTGCCAGGCGCAAAGGGGGAGTGGGGCCTTCCAAGCGTGGGGACAATGTGGTGCTGCTACGCCTGTTCCTCCCTGCGCTGTTTAGTATCAACCTGGAAGTCTTCTGAGAAAAAGACTCTATTTTCCACAGGCTGGACAAGGGAGGAGCTCTCCAGGGTGCTGAAGTCTTTGTCTTTTTGAGACTTGCTCAGTAGAGGTGCGATTTTTGGATTTTTTTTTGGAGTACAAATATTTATTTATTGTTGTTATTTATTCAGTTTATATACTGCCTCATTTGTACAAGCACTACATTGAGGCAGTTTATAAGACTGAAACTTACAACTCTGAAGTAGGTTTGTGCCATTATGTTAATTCTGACTCACAGCAATACTATTCAGACTTTTCTAAGTAGAAAGTAAGACATGGTTTACCATTCGCTGCTTCTTCTTCTTCTTCTTCTTCTTCTTCTTCTTCTTCTTCTTCTTCTTCTTCTTCTTCTTCTTCTTCTTCTTCTTCTTCTTCTTCTTCTTCTTCTTCTCCTCCTCCTCCTCCTCCTCCTCCCCTTTCCAAGACTAATGGAGGGGGCTAAAACCAAATAAGGAACTCTGTGTGTGTTTGTGTGTGTGTGTGTGTGTGTGTGTGTGTGTGTGCATGCACACGTATCCAGGGATTGTGCAGCTTGCCCAAGGGCCATCCAGGCTGGCTCTTCAGGGGTACACAGTGGGGGAATTGAATGTCCAACCTCTGGCTCTGAAGCCAGATAACTAAAGCCAGATAACTGAGCTATCCAGCCACCTCAGGACGACCCTAAGACTGGCCATATTTAGACTCCCTTTGCTTAACGTTCTGTGAAGGACCCATCTACCCTCCTAGCCTTCTTCCTTTTCCATTAAAGAAACAGAAGGACTGACAGGGCTCAAAAATATATTTAAAAGCTACGACCCCAAACCATGGAGTTCAGGGCAGTAGCTAGCAGGCCTCATTAAGTATGAGGACTCCACTGTTTTCTTTGTGTGAGCTTGGAATGGTTTGGTCACTGCATTCCCCTCCCGCCACCATTAAGCGCTGTGGATCTTGTAACACAGTAATAAATCATGCAAGTCTTTGATGCTCAGAATCATCTTTCACTCCCGCTCCCCAACCACTAAAACACCACCATTTAAAAAAACAACTTTGTTCCAGTGGAACATATGCTTAGGAATGATGCGCCATCTCCTCTAATAGATGAATGCAAGTTGTCAACTGTTGCCTCAGCATTTCCACCCAAGTTTGACTTCTGATTTGTCTCTGTTCTACTGTTGCGTTGAGAAGATTCTTTGGTGTTCTGTGGTATAATCCAAAATGTTATATTGATGGCTGCTTCCCACACCGAGCGGGCAAATAGTTCAGAATAAGGAACCACTAACTGTACTATGGCACTTCATAATAATAACTGGTTAACACTACATTTTTAAACTGAAATAAGAGTGCCTATTATTCTAAAATTGTAAGATGTAAATAAGAGTCTTGTAAATATGCCTCTGTATCATGCCTTCATTGCCCTTTACTGGTAGAGGTCACAAATCAGATCCATACAATGAAAGCAAATAGACTTTATGAACATCCTGTTTGGGGCCTCTTGCAAGCACTGTTGAAATCCAGCTAAATTCATAGATGAAATTTATTTCTCTCACAATCAGAACTATTGCTTCAAGCTACAACAAGCCAGTAAAATAAAACTTTAAAATCCAACTGCCCAAGTGCCTTCTCAGACTCCCTACACAAGGCACAAAAATTTGATGGGCCTATTTCTTTGCTTAGGTATCTATTGACAACAAAATGCTACAATTTGTGCACCCAAGTCCTTGGCAACAGCACCCATACAGAAATTGCTTATAGAATTGTGAAGTTCAAGTGTTTTTTTTTTAATTCAAATTCAGACAAAAATCCAAGATACCTTCCTCAACTGGGTTGGGTATCCATAAACATACATTGGCTTGGGCATGTCATGAGAATGGCTGATGGTTGGATTCCAAAAGATGGAGCATGAGTGCAGGGAAATCGTCCCCGAGGGAGACCACAGCTGCGATACAAGGCCATCTGCAAGCAGGATCTGAAGGCCTTAGGAATGGACCTCAACAGATGGGAAACTTTGACATCTGAGTGTCTAGTCTGGAGGCAGATGGTGCAGCATGGTTTCTCCCAATTTGAAGAGACCCTTGTCCAGCAGGCCGAGGCAAAGAGGCAGTCCCGAAATCAGCAAAATCAGGGAGCTGGACAGGGGAGAGCTTGTATTTGTCCGGTGTGGAAGGGATGGCCACTCTTGAATCGGCCTTCTCAGCCACACTAGATGCTGTTTTGAGACCTCTATTCAGAGCACGTTACCATAGTCTCTCGAGACTGAAGGATGCCTACCTAGACCAAATGGAAAAGGGCCTTAGCAGTGTAAGCAGCAACAGCGGTTCCAGTCTCTTCACCTCTCCTGCTCCCACCTCATTGGGCTCAGCCAATATTTCATAGGGCTTACGCTTATACTAATGGCAGTTTCTCCACATATGTCAACAGTTTTCTTCTACTATGCAATTTTCCTTCATGAGTCTGCATTTAATAACAAAATTATCTGTTTGTTCTCGTGGCTTTGTTAAACTTGTGCTGCCCATATTGGTATTTCTCAAGAAACATTGCTTTCTTTTTCTTCTGTTTTGGTAGGTTCACAATATCTCTGAAAGTTTCCAAAGTTTTTGCAAGGGTTTCTGCCCCCTTGTGCTGCTTTAAATTTCCCTTCTAAAGGCTTTCCGACAAGTGTGTCCCCCACCTGCTTGTTTTTCGAACTGCATATCTACTGTATCTGCTTTCCAACTTCACAAATGCTTCTTTCTAACTACAAAATGGGTACATGCTAAAAGAAAGGCAGAAAGCTGGAGAGCTCACTGTGTGGAACTGTACAGTCCTAAAGACACCCTCAGAAGAAGGGAATGGTCAACCCTGAAAAGAGTTGCCATAAGTCAGCTTTAACTTGAGGTCATGAAGTTATTGTTATTGAAGAATCTGTCTTTTTGCCACTTTTTTTCCAGTGCCAGCAGTGCCGTCGCTTTTCATCAAAGTTCTCAACAGCACTGCCGTTCAGGCCACGTGGGAGCCCTCCATTAAACTGGGCCAACATGAAGGGTTCAAACTCTACTACCGCAAAGTTCATCTTTCCCATTTCAGTGGCCCCGTGGTTTTGCCTGGCAACGTCATGTCTTACAACATTACTCATCTTGGTGAGTTTGGGAAATGGAAAAACTAGAGTAGAAGCAAGTATTTTTTTTAGTGCTGTTAAGAAGAACCTCCGGGCCAGTTCCTCAACAAAAGGCTTATTCGCCTCAGGGAACCTCTAGGCCACTGGTTCTTAACCTTGGGTTACTCAGGAGTTTTGGACTGCAACTCCCAGAAGCCTTCACCACCAACTGTGCTGGCTGGGGTTTCTGGGAGTTGCAGTTCAAAAACATCCGAGTAACAAAGGTTAAGAACCACTGCTCTAGGCCTTCCTCTTCCTCTCCCTGCTGCTCTGTTTGTCTTGATTTCCTCCTCTCATGGCTATTAGCTTGGTGTCCTTCAAAGCAAGAAAACCTCATGTCTATATGGCAGATGCAAGTCATTTGGTCTACCCCTACCATTTAATGGCCTAGCCAATATTAAATATGAGCCCACAACTTTTCCATCTTCTTCCTTTCAGACCCATCTGTTGTGTATGAAGTCAAGCTCCTTGCCTACAATCAGCACGGCGATGGGAACTCCACGGTCCGTTTTGTATCCCTTCGAGAGACTGTTGAAAGAACAGGTGAGACACTTGAGTGGCAATAGGGCCGCTTTGGGGGAAGAACGTTTGGGCAAAGGGGGGCAAAGGAAAAAAAAAGGGTGTTGGATAATGGATAAACAGGATGGTAATGCTGTCACGAAGATAGCAAGCCTTAAATCTGAAATATTTCTTGGAAAAATACTGCAGCGCTTATCAAGGAATCAAGGTTACCTCGAAGCTGCACAACATCTCCAAATTTCCACATTGTTCTGAAAATTATTCATAGGTGAAGTTCTACAATATGCCAGACGTTGCCTTGGTACTGGTATTCTGTTGATGTATCTATAAAAGGGTGTTGGGATCAATTTTGTTATCTGTCTAGGACGGGGTTGACCACACAAAGCTGCCAGGGGGCCAAATGCAGCACCTCTGGGGGTTCTCATTGTCCTACAGCCCCCAACAAGTTAAAGTTTTTTGTGGGGGAGAAAATGGGCTTAAAAGCCCTGTTGTTTTCTTTGGAGGAATGCAGGACAGTTTTGCAAATCCCCACATACCATGTTTTATTCAATTTTTTTACTAGTGAGAACAAGGATGCTGTTTCAGTTTTTTAAAACAGTTTTTAATAAGAAAAATGCGTAGATGGGAGCAGATGCAGCCTGCCAAAGTCCAGGGATCACCCACTCTTGTTCTAAGCAGAGGAACCCTTGTACTCGGCTTTTTAAAAACATTTTTATAGCCTTTCTTCTATTCCCTTTTCAGACTGTAAGGCTGAACTTACCATTCACGAAGTGAAACTATGCAAGGGAAATGACTTTTCATTAGTTAACCATTTCAAACCCACACAGAGAGCAATGGTCAGGGAAGTTTTTTCAACAAGGGTGAATGGTTGTGAGCCCAAGAGGGTATCCTGTAGACCATCTTGACTGCTGCCATGGGTGTTGCCAACATTTAGGCTGCCTTTTGCTATATGAAGCTTGGCATCCTTTTTCCTGCTGGCAATGCGGGCATGATATTGTGCAGCAATATAGGACCATTTCCTGGCATGCTTAAATCATGGTTACAGAAGGACAATGTACTTTTCTTTGAAGCAGGGAGGAAATCCCTCCCTCCCCCTGTCAGATGATGCTGTCTCTTTCATCCCAGGGCTGAATCCACCATGCAATTGCCTGAAAGATGAACAAACCAACAAGACATCAGCGACTGGCATCATCATTGGGATCCACATTGGAGTCACTTGCATCATCTTCTGTGTTCTCTTCCTCATGTTTGGTTACCGAGGACGGTACGGTTTTTCTCCACTGGCCATGCAGGGTGGGGTGGTCCAGACGTTAGGTCTGCAAGCCATGAAATAAGTTGCTCAGGCAATTGCTGTCCTTTCAGATTTCTCTGTCGGCTTTAGGCCTGCCTTTCCCACCGTCGCATCCAGCAACTGGATTGGGCTACACCTCCATCCTCCTCCTGCCATCATGGACACGATGGGCGATGGAGCCCAACCTATCAGCTCCATCCTCCTCATGCCATCATGGTCAATGGACACGATGGGCGATGGAGCCCAACCTATCTGACAGGGGTCAAGCTGGGGAAGAGCCTAGACTCTCCTGTTTTAGGAACCATGGCGATGTCTCAGACCCCTTGCAAAATGCCCAGATCCCAAAATTGGTGAACTTCCCAGACAAGGGAGGAAGGATGTTGCTGAGGAGGAGTTTTGGGGAAAAAAAACCTCTCAATGGGGAAATAAGGAAGGTTGGGAAATGATGGGGCAGAGGACCATTGCCACCCATGCACTCAAATACAAGCAGGACTACACTCCTGCTTCCCTTCAGAGCTCACTTTCTAAGTCCTTCTGCCAACGTCTTCTGTATGCCCTGGCACAGAATTCTAGTTCTTCCTCGTCTGAGAGAACCGGAGCCAGAGCGGGGCTCACCAAAGGCCCTGGCATTGGCTGCGGTGCCATCACAGCCCCCTCAGGACTGTGGCATGAAGAACGAGCCAAGGCACCACAGAGTCAGAACCAGGGTTTGAGAAAGAGGCCTGTTAGAACGGGAGCTCCCGGTCGAGCTCAGCCAACCACAGGTTGAACGCAAATTGCCTGATTTCACCCAGAATCCCAAAATCTCCCTGACTTTTTTTTTTTAATTTTGAAGGCTAAGGAGGATCAAATCAGGCAAACCTTTGTATGGGAGACGACCAGGGAATATTTTTTAATTTTGAAAGCTAAGGAGGATCAAACCAGGCGAACCTTTGTATGGGAGACGACCAGGGAATACAGGGAATATTGTGCTGAGGAAGGGCTCTAAGCAAGGTCCCTAAAAGTGACTTGTTCAAGTCCTGGACCCTGTGCCATCCTCTCCACCCCCCCATGCATATTCACACATCTGTTGTGCACAGAAGAGATCAAGCAGTGCAATCCAGATCACCATCAGCAGCGCCTGGTGGAGCCAGTTCATGAAGAGGTCTCTTGTGGTCTTACCAGATCACCTCATGGAAAGGAAGGAAGTCACATGTAAACTCAGGAGAAATGCAAGCCAGACTGATGGGGAGGGTTGGCCTGGTCCTCCTTCAACACCTACACAACTTTCCTCCCCTCAGCCATGTCTGCATCTCAGGGATTTTTTTTTAAATGGAACTTGACTGGGGCATTGTGGTCCAAAAAAGTAACTTTTCCAAGCACGGGAATTCCAAGAAAAATAGCCACTGTGCAGTTCCAGTAACCTTCGGGAATGAAAAAGCTTTCTTGGATCGGGCCAGAATTAGGGCATAATATTTACTCACCAACTTACTCATCGAGGCACCTTGTTAGAGAAGTGGGTGACCATGGCAAGACTTTTCAGTCTTATATGAGTAAGAATGAAAGGCTTACAGGCCACAACAGTGGCTTTTGTACAAAACACAAGGGTTTTCTGCAAAGGTCTCTCCAAAAAGGGAGACAAAATATAACAAATGCACTAAGAAAAATCCCATGATTTTACCCAGTTACGAGGATGGAGGTGGTGAAGAAAAAGCTCAATCTTTTTCACGTTTACTAGCAGCACCTCTCCTGGGTTTTGTGCTGTGCAGCATCCTTTTCTAGCAGGAACTTGTCCCTATTCTAGGCTGCAAAGCCTTCCAGCCCAGCCTTTCTCCAGGTGAGCACGATTTAGGTTAGGACGAGGCAGGTAGAACTCTGAGAATGAAGGATTCTGGGATCTGGAGTAAAACAACCACCACAACACAAGCAACATCTCTCTCGTGAAAGGCTGTCCCATAAACCTCTGTGTGAATTGCCAGACAGCTGTTTTGTCGGGTTGTTTTCCCCGCAGGCTGCTGATGTGCAAAAATGTCCAGGAGCCGCTGTCGACGCCACAGATGCCAAGAAGTCAGAGGAACAGGACGGGCCTGGCGCTGAATGGATCCGCTCAGAGGGACGATCCAGACACCAGTGGGAAGCGGCTGGACATGAATGAGCTGGAAAGGTTGTTCCCAGCAGCCCCGCCTTCCCCACCCGATCCACACAATAAAGGAATAGCGGTAAGAACATGACACCGTGGAGTAAGGGCTGGTGCTTAATCGCCTCCTTTTATAAACCTTGTAACAACTCTTGGGTCTCCCTGCAGAGGGGAAAAAACTATTCCTTGCATCTTCCAACTTACATCTCCCTCAACACTTGTGTGTTTGCGTTCCCTTCTTTCTCTTCTGAATAGTAAGTGCCGAAGGGAATGATTTCTTTATGATTCAGTCCTAGCTGGCTAAAATAGAGAGCCGGCTGGATCGACACGAGGCCAGCTGGAGCAGAGCTGAATCCAAAACTTGTCTTGGGCTTGGGCTGTTGGAAACGTGGGGACTATCTTTGCCCAGGCGAACGATGTGCTGGTTTTGTTTGAGAAAGTTTGTATCTGACATAAACCAACGCTCTCCTTCTCCACCCTCCCAACCCTCCTTTTTTCCCCTGCTCTGCTGAAAGATTTTAGCAAGTAGAGCTGTTTTGCAAGGGGCCTTGTGGTGCCTAAACTGCAGCCCTGCAGCCAAAACTCTGCTCACAACTTGGGTTCAATCCCAGATAGCCGGCTTGAGCTTCCCAAAGCCTTCCATCTTTCCAAGGACAGTAAATTGAGTACCCGGCTTGCTGGGCTGTGTGTGGCGGCAATGTGTAGCCTGCATAATTCACTTGTAAACCTCCCAGAGAGTGCATTTGGTGCTATTGTGCGGTATATAAGCAGCACACTTTGCTTCTTGCAGAAGATCATTATGTTGGCAGCTGTTGGCAGGACAAGATCTTATGCCACCTGAGCCAAGACAAGCGGCTGGCACTTCCCACCTCTCCTCTACTTGCCCCACCCCACTGCTCACGCTCTCCTAGTGCTGATGGGGGGCGGAGGAGAGGGAGAACAGGATGCTGGCGGCAACGACAGCAGGTTGTTTCACATCCCAGCTGGCTGGAGTACCGGTTTTGTACAGCCAAGTGAATAACTCGGACTCTGGAGCCAAGGCACGGTGGAAGGGTGCCCCCTCTGCAGTGCTTTGACCTTGACGGCCCAGACCTTTGGAAGCCAGCTGGCCACCCAGTAGCCCTGCTCCAAAAGTGATCAGACATCTCATGGCGATTCAAAACAGCTGTTCGCTGCTGCCACTGCCAGTACCCTGCCTTCATCATCCTTTTCTTCCACACCTTCCCTGTATGTGTTTTTGCATGCTGGCAGCAGAGGGCACGGTTGTTGGGGGGGGGGAACTAGGCTGCAGGGAGAGAGACTGCCACCCCAAGTACTCTGCTGTCTGAGGCACCTCCTTCCTTGCCGGCTCCGTTGGCAGATCTCTGACCTCAGCAAGCCAAAGTAAATCCTGCTGAGAGTAATTCTCCATAACTGGTGCATCTTAGAGTTAGGAATCATCATCACCATCAAGGTGCCCCAGTGGGGAACTGAACTACAGTAGTTTAGATCTCTACAGCCAGAGACTTAAACCACTGAGCTATTCAAATTGTTAACCTCTAAAATGTTGTGTGTACAGTGGTGCCTCGCACAATGATTGCTTCATACAATGATGAATTCACACAGCGATGGGTTTTTTTGAGGAATTTCCCCCATCGTTTAACGATGTTCTCTATGGGGGAATTTCACTTAACGATGTCCCTTTTTGCTCATTTAAAAGGGCCTTAAAATGTTTGAAACCTGTTTTAAATGCTTGGATTCCATAGTGCACCTTGTGAAACATGTGCAAACTTAATTTGGTTTTGTTCTGAGTCTTCATTAATTTTTGGTGATTTTTTATTTTCCCCATTTAAATCAATTGAATGGACAGTTCAATGCATTTAAATAGGGAAAACAAAAAATCACCAAAAATTAACGAAGACTCAGAACAACACCAAATTAAGTTTGCATAGGGTTCAGGAGGTGGGCTAACAATTGCAAGCATTTAAAACATGTTCCAAACATTGTAAGACACTTAAAAATGAGCACCAATTTTTTTTTTCATATCTGGTGATGTCGCTGAAGCCGGTTAATCCGTTCCAATTGGAACGGGACATCGGAAAGGACTTCAAAAGCGCTGAAGCCGGTTAATCCGTTCCAATTGGAACGGATTAACCGGTTTTCAATGCATTCCTATGGGAAATGGTGTGTCACAGAACGATGTTTCACACAACGTTGATTTTTTTTTTAACCAATTAACATTGTTGTGTGAGGCACCACTGTATTTTAGTAGCTGATGCTATACAGAGGGATTACAGGTAATAATTGTAAGAATAAATAATCCTGCGTTAAATCTGCAAAAAAATTCAAATGAATCTTGCCTAGGAGAGGTTGTTCATGCCTTCTTATATTTGAAAAGGTCACTTCTGGGCTGCTAAGACATCCAGCAGGGACGAATTTCTGTAGTATTGTCAAGGGGTCATGGCACTTTTTAGAGCAGCATGTGCTTAAAACGGACAGGTCCTTGAGAGCAGGTCATGAAAAATCTAAATGTTTATGGTAGGGGAAAATCAAAGGTGGGGTGAGGAAAGACATAAGTGAGAGAAAACGGCTACAGTGGCTTTGTGGAAGAAGTGGGCTTTGAACTAGAAGGGGAGAAAAAGGATTTCCTGCCATTAAAATGGTAAATGAGAGGGAGAGCTCACATCACTGGATTCAGGACTGGCAGCCTCTCGTTTGTAAGGTGACTGTTGTTGGCTTGGATGCAAGTAGTAATTTTTTGCTTCCATTTCTCAGCTGGATCACATTCCTCCTACCTCACAGGATGAAACCCAGATATCGACCCTTCCGCCGGATGACTTCAGCATCATTGAAGAGGAAAGTGACGCCTCCTTTCAAAATCCGCACTCACAGCAGACCTCTGCTAAATATCCTCCAGGAAGAACCAGCTTTGAACCCAGCTCTGACCAATGAAGGATAATTGCCAAGACTTCTGCCAACCAATTTTTTTTTTCATATCTGGTGATGTCTTTAAAACGACTCATCAATCTCAGGTCAATTTAAGATTTTTACAGTCTGTTTCTTTTCACGCACGTGCATACACATAGAGAGAGCTTTGTGGAAACTCTACAAAGTTCATCTTTCTAACCTGCCTCAGGCGTCTTAGTACATTCCTTCCCATCTGGATTTCAGCGGTTCATCCTAGAGCTGCCGGATCTGTGGCTTCCTCTCGGCCCCCTTGCGAGCCACCTGTTCAACACTGAAGGCAGTAAGGATCAGTGGTGGTCTTGTTTAATCCATGTTGGCAGCTTCAGGATGACGACTCTGGAGATCCACTTTTGTAACGTGTTGAGATGACTGGTTACGATGGACCCATCCAACCTGGTTAAAATATATATAGATATAAGAAAAAAAAGGAAAAGAAAGGAAAGAAAGGCAGGTGCTTGTTGAGCCAAACTTTTCTATGGATATTTTGACATTTTTGTCAAGTGCATTTGGGCTCTACGTAATTCTCAGGATGTTTTCTTGCCGATTAACTGTTTCAAAGGCAAAGCAAGCCTGTCAAAAGAAGAAGAAGAGGAAAAGAGCCTGCAGGCTGGCTACTTAAAAAAAAGAAGGAGCAAAGACTTGGATTAACATCCCTCGTGAACTCAGAACCTACCTCAACCGGAATTGAATGTCTTCTGGGAAGAAGCAAAGATCTTGTGTCTTCCTTTTGTTTTCCAAGCAAGTAGTGTAGCCCCTTGGTCAGTACATGTCTTGGTACTACCTCAGAAGTCAAACTCCATGTCTACCATGATGGTTATTAGTTGTTGTTGTTGTTGTTGCTATTGTTTTTAAGTATTCCTTTTAATCGTCATCGTCGTTCCAATGTGAAGCACTTCCAAAACCTTGAAAGCAATGTTCTACCTCAAGACATTTTTTAAAAGAAGAACTGTGTGTCATGTCGTTGGACCTCACCTGTCACCTCTTCTTTGTTTCTGCTCATTTCCACTGTTCCAGAAGAGTAAGGACAAAGAGCTGTGTGGGTTCATGTCCACTAGCAGTCATCAACGACATTTCCCCCCCCCTTAGTGTTATGAGCTTTACTTTTAGGCAAGTTGCTAGATAACGCGTATAGAGTTTTACTGTGTCAAGAGATCTCCCCACCCACCCCCAATATCATGTTTGTCTTTTAAAAAACATTAAAGATTGTTAGGGTTGTAGCAAAAGGCAAGCCACCAGTCACCTAAATATGATTTCCCCTTCTAATGGGTTATGGCTGACCACAGGTTACTACTGAAGAGCTGTTTTCTTTCCAGAGCTGGTTTGCCACATGTCCGTTTACTTGATGACCGCACTGTCAAGGGTGATCACATGGGGGGAAAGGCACCACAAATTGAACTTGTACATTACTTTCTATATCAGGCTTCTCAGTGGAATTCCTACCATCAGCTTCCGGCCTTCATATACCTTTTGCTGAGGGTGGGGAACCAAGGGCCAAATTCCGTCTCCAGATAACTTCTCAGTGGCCACATTCCCAAGGTGTATGGGGCCAAAGGCAAAAGAGCAGGACGAACAATGCCAGCATATATTAGTTTAAAATTGTGTCTGTTAATAACTGAGCCTTAGGAAAGGCATTATAAGGGGTGGGTGGAACTGGGCAACCACCCATTGCTGGCGTCCTGGGGAAAGGGGCGTGATCACTAGAGACAAAATGGAAATCCAGGAGGAACAGGGACAGGCCCCGAGTCTCAGGTTCCTAACACCTCCTTTGTGCCATTCTGTCTAGCTTGCTATTGTTTCCTCTTCAGAATCATAAGCAGAGAAAGGTGTTTTCCTGACACTGGAAATGCTGCTGGTTGAACCTCTGCAACTAAGGTGTAGCCTTACTGAACATCTTAGTCTAAATCCAACCATTAGTCCCAGTTAGAGCAGACCCACTGAATCAGAGGAAACTTGATAAATCAACATTTTTACACATTATATAGGTCCAGTAGGTCTGCTCAAGTTGAGAGTAACAGTTGGGTTTAGGCCGTTCTGCATAAGAGGACTCTGCTCTACTTTTGGAGGAACTTCCAGTTAATAACCTTGATTGAGAGGAGAAGAGGACTCTTGCTCTACTTTTGGAGGAACTTACTTCCAGTTAATAACCTTGATTGAGAGGAGCCGTAGCCCCTCCATCGCTTAGACTGTTGAACCATCCAGCCAAATATTGTCTGCTTTGCCTTGGAAGATGGTCTCTGAGGCTACAAGCTGAGGACCACCTTTCTTTAGCCCTGTGTTCGTAATCCTGTTAAAGCAGAGATGTCAGAGACTGAATGTGGCTTGCAGTCACCTTCGTCTTTGACTTTCCCAAAAATAAGGAATGTTTCTTTTTATGGAACTCGTACTTTGAACTGCGCAACCAGCATGGCCTGGGGTGTGTGCGTGTGGGAATCTAAGAGTGGTGGGCTAGAAAGCTAGGCTTCCAGCATTACAAAGCTCATGTACATGAAGCATTATCCCTCTTCAAATAAGGAACATCATATAAATTTACATGTTATGGATGAGGGCTCTTCTTGCTAATCTCAGTTTCATGCTGATTTTAGCATATGGGCTATCAGAGTGAGCCACATGTCCATGTGAACTAGGGCCTAGTCCAACCTGTTTTAACCAGAGATGGTGCCTCCTCCTTGATGAGGAAGCTGTGGGCTTAGTTGCCCAGCAGTCGGCTCCCCCCTGTCATTTTTTAGGTCGCTGGTGGTGGTGCTGGTGGTGGCTATAGACCTCATACTCAAAACCTTAGAATGTAGCATGTTTTTCTCTGGTGACCTACCTCACTATTAAGTCATCAGAGTGGCCAAACAGTACTGGGAAAAGTATGAGTAACTGCTCTGATGTGACAATTTGTGTAGGCCCCAAAAATAATAATACTCCCCTTTCCACTCCATGGGCTCCCCCGTTTCTCCGCATCTGTGCCTCATGAAGGCTGGAACTCAACCTCTAATAGTCACTTGCTTGTGTTTTCTCTCTCTCTTTTTTAATACTGTGTTTAATTCCTATAGCTATTTTTATACGTGACGGTTAAAAATGAAATAGAAATATTTTTTTTGGTTAAAAGAGAAGCAAGAGAAATCAAAGAGGGGTGGGAGGGAAGAAAACGGTGTTTTTGAGAAGTCCCAACAACACTGTTATGGCCTTTTTTTAAAAAAAGAAAAGAAAAGAAAAGAAAGAAAATCCATTTTCAAGCTCCCTAAAAATCTCCATTCTGAACACCAGCGTGAGGGGATCAGTCAGTATCTCTGTCACTACCCCAACCCTTTCCCAATTGTCAGACTGTTTTGCTTGTTTTCATGGAGTGTATACATTGAATGTGTAAATATTGCCCGACACAGGGAGAAGGAAGTTTAAAGTATCTATGTATAAATCTCTTGTTCCGTGGCAGTTGTCCCATAGGTGGTGGCAGCAGAATAGTGACAGGAGGAGCGCCGAGGGGCAACAGAGAGAAGCAAAGAAAATGGTGGGGGGAAAAGCATGGTGGGCAAATGAAGAAGGCAGCAAGCTGTCATCCGGGAAACCATGCCCTTCATTCCTTGCGCCTTTGGGGAATATCACTTGGGGCCTGTCCACATAGATAATATCCACAGCAGTGTCTTCCCCTCTCCACCACCTTCTTCCTGTCTCAGGAAAGCTGGGAACCATTGAGCCAGACAGCTGTGGTGACCCACAGTAGGTTGACAGAAGGTTGAACCCCTATGGGGAGAGGTCAGGGTGATCGGCAAGGTTTTCTCACCGCTGTGTAACAATAACAGTAGCAATACAGTTATTCTCCGAAATGAAGAAAACCTGAGGGTGACAAATTCTGCAGTGAGGGATTTCTTGCAGAAGAACTGCGAGCGCTATTCCATTCTGGCATTCACAATTAAATCCTTGGCTCAGAATTTGTGAATTCTGTCAGTCTTTTGTGCCAGGCTCCAGCTGGTGAGTCTTGGCATTCTGAAATAAGTAGATACATAAATATCCTGCAAGTCTCAGGTTTACTCATTTATAGATTAAAATGTTTGGCTTAGATTGTGGGGCTCTGTGTCCAAATTCTTGTTTGGTCAGGATGGTCAGTGAGCAGCCTTGGTCTGCCTAGTGTCTCCATGCTTAATAAACCATACAAGGACAGATGCAAAGATTAAAAATCGAGCAGAAAAAAATGCATTCATGCAACCCTGTCCCCTTTGGATAAAAGTAGGAATAGCATGGTAAAATAATTTTTCAGCCATCTCTCGGAGCAATAATGCCTAAAGAGCAAGTCCACTGAGGGGCTTTTGGGTCACAGCACTGCCTTCTTCATAACCTGTGTCACCTTTAGTTGGGGTCAAAGATGGCTAACACAGCTGCCCAGTTTTCTCCATCTGGAAGCCAGAGGGTAGAGGGAGATCAATGACCTTATTAGAGAGAGGTAAGATTTCAAAGCAGAGACTTGGATTTCTCTCTAGAGCTGAAAGGTGTTTTGAGTGCACCCGCTGGAGTTTAGCCACCTTGCAACCTGCCCACGATTGTTCATTGCTTAGTTTACATTGTACAGCTAAGAAACAAAAAAAAAGAAAAAAATGTACGTTTATTTTGATTGTACATTGAATTAAGATGTCAGTAAGACACTTCTTTATCAGGGCAACCTCATCCAGTAATGGTTTGTTTTTAACATTATCTCTCTTTGTAAGTGATGTGAAGTCTCCAATTTAAGTAAAGGACGATTGCCAAAGCAAGAGACGTAATTTTTAGACTAGCTTCGGCTCCGAATCCCCAGGGCTGTATGAACCTGCTATTAATTTAATATCATGTTATTGTGATATTGTAAACAAATATTTGTCACTGCTTCCTTTGATTAAAAGGGAAAATGTTGTGCCATTTTATTAGTGAAATTGCAGTAGCCTGTCATGTAGAAATGTTCTTTCTTTCTTTCTTTCTTTCTTTCTTTCTTTCTTTCTTTCTTTCTTTCTTTCTTTCTTTCTTTCTTTCTTTCTTTCTTTCTTTCTTTCTTTCTACTTACATAATGGCTTAATCCACTGTGGATTTTCCATTGGTGTGAGACAACAGATGATGGATGTGAACCTCTTAAAGATTGTTAATTATTATTATTAATTATTATTATTCATTGTTTTAGATTATTAGATTTTCCTCTAATAATTTCTTTAAGCTTTTGAAAATCCCATAGTAAAATAGCCACAAAAATTTCCATCAGGCAGAATCTCACAAAAGGCGCTTATTTTGTCTAGGTGTATCCTTGAGACTAAAACAAGGTAAGAAGAATAGGCTTCCTTGCAGACTTTCAGTGTTCAATATTTTATGCTGCATCTTAGTTCTCTGCAGTTTCTAATCCCGTTTTGATCTAAATTCAAGCAGTTGAGTATGCACCAATTT